GGAAGGGCTTCTCGAGTCCAGCGACATCTGTGAAAATTGGCTCAAAATTTCTTGCTGTTGAATTGGTTACTTATTGAGTAATGAAGGTTGAAAAAAAAAAACCTGACTCATTTTCACTCAAAAATCTCCCACAAAAATTTGTTTGTAAAATATTGACAACATTCATCCCAAAAAATATTTAAAATTGCATGACTAATTTGCTCAAAATTTAAGGTTTTCAAAAAATTGCAATTGCTCTTGAACTCATTTCATGACACATTCACAAAAAATTGAAAAAATCTTCTCTTCAGAATACGTCCACACAGTTAATGAAAAGGAAAGACAATAGGGAAAAGGGGCGTACTTATTTTCAAGTGCTGTTTCTCTTTTCAAAAAGAAGCACCATTGACATTGTCCTCAGATTTGCCTGCATTCTGGATTTGTTCAGTAGATGTCGCCTCAAAACTTCCTGATGAAATGGTTACTTGAATAATGGATAATTTCATAAAAGAAACTGACTCATTTTCACTCAGAAATCTCCCACAAAAAATTGTTCTTAAAATATTGACAACATTCATCCCAAAAAATACATAAAAAGGCATGACATAATTTGCTCAAAATGTAAGGTTTCCAAAAATTGCAATTGCTCTAGATCTCATTTCATGACAAATTCACAAAAAAGTTGAAAAAAATCTTCTCTTCAGAATGATTTCACACAGTTAATGAAGAGGAAAGACAATAGGAAGAAGAGACATACTTTTTTCAAGTACTGTTTCTCTTTTCAAAAAGAAGCACCATTGACATTGTCCTCACATTTGCTGGCTTTCTGGATTTGTTCAGTAGATGTCACCAAAATCAAAAATTACAGGTGGTATACCTTGCAATTTGACTATCAAATTTTCAGCAAGGTTCCCTTGCAATTTGACACTTGCTGTACAATTTGACCTACTTTTCCCACTTTTTTGCACTTTGTACTTACATTTTCAATTTTCATGATGTGGCTCACAATTCAAATAATCTTAAATTTGACCCTAGTTGGGCAACAGATTAGGGTTGAATTGCAAGGTACCACCTGCATATAAGCTACAATTCATCACAGTGTTGATCCTGGAAATTCCTGAGGGATCATGGTGGAAAAATGAAGTCACTAGAAATAAATTCAATGCATAAATACTGTATTGTTAGAATGAAAATTGGGCATAAAGATTTCCCAATATATATCTACTTTTTATGAGAACAATTAAATTTATAGATATGACTCTAAAGTCTACAATAATCAAGTCATTCAATAGTAAATAAAAAGAAAAATAAAGGAAATGATTCCAGGAAAATTTTTCTTCAAAAAAGCAGCTTCGCGTTTCCAAGAACATAAACAAAGCCATACTTTCACCACACTTGACTTTTTCAAGATCGCGAACTGGGATAATTTCGCCCAAACTTTCACAGAGATTTCTCCGTCTCTCTCTTTTTTCTTTGAGTTCTCCTTTTTTTTGCAACATGACCATACTGAACAATTTCCGTCTTTCAAAAGTCTCGAGAGATCCTTGATAAAATGGAACACGAATTCTCTTGCACAAGCAGGAAAACACAATCAATCAATCAATCAATCATTTAGAGATCCAACACGGCATCACAAGGCGGCTCTTCGTTGCAAATAATTCACACTTTCGACTTTGAATTTTAATCCTATTGATGCATTTGTTTTTGATAATTCTCTCAAGTTTCCAGCAAATCGCTTTTTTTTTTTTTG